AAAAAAAAAAAAAAAAAATGTCCGAGGTGATGGAAATACCAGTTATCCCAATCTGACCATTACATGTTGTATATGTGTCACACTGTGCCCCATAAGTGCAAGGTGAGTTCGGTTCCCGCTGGTAGAGAAAAACCAAAAAAAAAAAAAAAAAAAAAAAAAGATGATGTGCTCGGGTGGCCAGGCACGTTCTCATTTCTTACTGGTGCCTGGTACGTGTGCCCAGAGCCACTGGGACCCAGGCATCGCGGACAGCAGAGGGACAGACGTTCGGAAAGACCGGCTGGGGCCCAGGGGCCGTTCTGCAGGTCCCAGGCAGCCACAGCCTCAGGGACCCTGGGGACGCAGGCAGGGGCCGCTTACCCTGAGCCCCTGGGGCTGCTCTGTGCCCGTCCTGGCTTCCACCCACAGGGGCTGGGGGCCTGGGTCTGAGGGCACCTGGCGTCACAGTGCCTGTGTGGCCCTGCGGTGGGAGGAGGAAATGGGGTGTCACAAAGGACACCCAGTGCACTCAGCTCAGGAGGGAGGACACCAGGAAGCTGGGTGCCCCGCACTGCGGCGGGGGCGGGCAGGAAGCCCATCCTCAGTGGTAAAAGTCAAAGGTCAGAAGAACCTCCGAGGCCAGGCGCGGGGGCGCGTGCCTGTCATCCCAGCACTCAGAGGCTGAGGCAGCGACTCAGTGAGCTCCGGTATCGAAATACATCTTTTTAAGGGCTGTTTTTTTTTTTTTTTTTTTTTTTCTCCTAACAAGCACAGTGTACAGGCCCTGGTTCCATCCCCCAGTAATGCAAAGGAATTTTTAAAAGATTAACAGTGTCAAAAGAGAAGGCCGCCCTGCAGGCCTGGAGGCCACATGCTTGGGGTGAGACCTTAGGAAACAGGGAGGCGCCCCCAGGGACCCCCAGGAAGGGAGCTTCCGCAGAGGGCGCTGCGCACACACCCAGCCCCAGTGTGGCGGAAGGGCTGGCACAGAAGTGGGGGCTCCTCCTCGGGGGCTGAGCAGACCTGGAAGGCTTCTCTGGAGGGGAGGCAGCCAGAAAGACTGCACTCACCTGGCACTGTCCTGAAACTGAGCATCAGGAGTGTGGGGAGCCTTCCCTCATGTGGCCCTTGCAGGGCCTCAAAAGAGGAAGTTCCTGGCGAACACTCAGTCAGCAGGGCTTCATGGAGGAGGAGACCTATTGTCCCTGAAGGGCCGTGGAGGCCAGGCAAGGAAGGAAACCTGGTGAGTGGGGGAGTTTTGAATGAGTGCATCAGCAGAGGCAGGGGCCAGGCCCAGCCTCAAAAAAAAAGACCAAGCAAGTGAGAGGGCTGTGCATGGTAGGCTTGGGTCTTATTCTGTAGGCAATAGGGAGCCACTGAAGGTTGTAGAGTGGGGATGGTCACGCGTGGGACTGGACTTCTAGTGTGTCCCGGGGGGTGGGGGTGCAGGGAGAGGACAGTGTGCAGGGCCTCATGGAGCCATTAATAATGGGCCTGTGGGCAGTGGCTGTCACCCGGTGGAGAGACACATGCCTCCAGCCCAGCACTGCAGAATAATAAGCATTATCCATCCTGTCATTGTTGCCTGGGGCTGAGGCTCTGTGGGGACTTCGGAGTTGATCTAGAGGCCTGGGGGCACAGTGTGAAGACCCAGCTCACAGGGGAGGGGCCCGCTGCTTAGTAACCTCCCTGGGTCTCCGAGTGGGGCCACAGGCTCTGAAGCAGGAGACACTCAGAGCCGAATCCAGAAGTGGAGACTGGGGCGGCTGCAGAGAACCGGGGCGCCTGGCAGGGACAGGGTCTGGGGTGTGCAGGGGCTGCGGGGGGGGCCAGAGCTCAGTGCCCCCAGCTCTCCTGGGGGCTCTTGAGAAGGACGGAGCCAGCTGGGGTCCGCAGACATCACTTGTCGTTGGAGGGCTGCACTCAGGGCTGGGTGTTCCTGGGACCCCGCGCTGGCCGAGCCTACAGTGGTGGCACAGGACCGGGTTCGAGGTCAGCCCAGCCCTTCATCTGTAAATCAGGACAGGTCACAGTGACGCCCCGCATCCCGCTTGGGGCAGGCGTGGTCAGCAGGCGGGGACTGGCAGAGAGGTGGAGGAAGATGGCAGAGTGACTCCTGCCAGGTGCAGTAGCACACGCCTGTGGTCCCAGCTGCTGGGCAGGCTGAGGCAGGAGGATCACCTGAGCCCAGGATTTTTGACACCAGCTGGGGAACATAGCAAGACTCTGGCTCAAAAACAAAACAGAACAAAAAGTACTTCCGGGGGCTGAATGTAGCTCAGTGGGACAGTACCATATTGAGCCCCACGTTCAAATCCAAGCTCAGCCACCCCCTTTCCTGTGATTCGGGGGCAGTTCCCCACGACATTTCCTGACACGCTCGTCCGTGAGGGATCCCCATTTACACACCAGCACCCTGTGTAGGGATGGTGATGGTCTCTAACTTCCAGCTCTTTGTCCCAAACCAAGTAGCCTCCAAAAGCCAGCTTCTGGTGTTCCTGATTCTCAGATAGCTCCCAACCTGCAGGACGTGGGGACCCGCTGGGGGAGCACCCCAAGCCCAGTGGTCCTCTCCCACCAGAAACGCACTCAGGCATGGACACGTATGTTTGGTGAGCCACCAGGAACTAAGGTGCCAGGGCAGTTCATCCCCAGAATCCGTGCCCAGTCCTACTCACCACTCCTATCTCTGCACAAGTGTTACACCCACACTTTGATTATGCACAGATGTATCATAGCTAGAAGACATGTTTCTGCTGTGTGTGTATTGGGGTTCTGTTTTTGTTTTGGGGGGGTTCTGGGGGATTAAATCCAGGACCTCTGCACTGAGCTACATCCCCAGCCCTCTTAAAACTTTTGAGATGGGGCCTAAATTGTCCAAACTGGGCTTGAATGTGCAGTCCTCCTGCCTCAGTATCCCAGAGTGCTGGGATTACAGGCATGCACCACCACTCCTCAGGAAACCAGTTTTCTCCCCATGCTGCTGTCCTTGCCTGAGGTACCCAGGAAGCCGACCTCACGGCAGTAGCTTTGGCTGCTCTCAGTATGGGCACACAGCAGGCACTCAGTGGGGTTCATCTCGGGGACTCCTAAAAGCATCCTCTAGAGTTAGGCCTGAGCTTGTCACTCTGCACTGGAAAACCATTTGAGGGACGGGCGTGGTGATGCACATCTGTAATCCCAATACGTGGGAGGCTGAGGCAGGAGAATCGTCGTGAGGCCAGACTGGGCCACATAAGCAAATTCAAGGTAAGCCTGACCTACATAGTAAGACCCTGCCTCCAAAAACACACACACACATTCGAGGGCCGGTGACTTGGCCCAAGGCCATACAGCTGGCCTGACCCAAGGACCCAAGTGCAGGCAAGGTGGGCGAAGCTGGAGAAACGCAGGTACCGCAAAAGGATGCACCCACGGAGTAGACCATGTCTCCTTGGGGGAAGGACAGCTTGCTGCCCCGGCCAGCCTCCCTGCGGCTTCCCCAAATGGCCCCTTGGGGACCCCAAGGCCTGGGTTCATCCCTCTCCCTCGGGATTGGGGCAGCACGCACCCTGGTGCCCATCCTCCTGTGGTGCGGCTCCCCGTCTGGAAGCATCGGGCGGCGTCCCTGAGGCCCAGGCTGGCAGCAGAGCCTTGCTGACATGGGTACCTGCAGGCATCTTCACCCGGCCCCGCCCCATGGGGAAGACAGAGCCCACGGGGTGCCCTCTGAGGCCGAACCAGGCAGGGGACCCTCCTGCACCCCAGCCACCCACAGTGCCAGAACTGCTTTTCCAGAAGCCTACTGCCTCGTGACCTTGAACCTGGGCGTCCTTCTCAGGAAAATGGAAACAGAAGCAGCAGCTTCTCAGACCCAGCTGGAGTCCACACTGATGAACAGTAGAGCGCTGGCCTTGCTGATGAGGGAGAGCCCAGACGAGGTGGCCCAGCCCAGGATAACGGCTGCCCCCGCCTACCTCCTGAGTCTGGCATTGGAGGTTTAAGGGATGATGTGGAAGGCCTCCCTGCCCCAGGCCTGGCAGTGTGATAGAGGCCATGGGCATGGCACAGGGTGGGGAGGAGAAGGGTCCATGCATGCAAGTGGGATGGGGCCTGATTACCTGCCCAGCAGGCACTGAGGCTGGTGGAGATCAGGACAGGCAGAGATCACCACCCCACATGCGCTGTTGGAATTTAAATGAATACGATTAAAGCCAGAGCGCCGGGTCTTGTGCGGCACACTCAAGCACCTGTGGCTGCAGGGGGCACCAGCTGGACAGGACAGGACAGGACAGGACAGGACAGGACAGACCATCCATCCTACCCCAGAGAGCTCTCTGGGCAGCCCTGGTTGGAACACTGAGGACTCTGCCTTCTACTCCGGAGGAGACAGGAAGACCCAGGCCTTGTTCTGAGGCGCTTGGAGCACAGAGACAAATCTTGAAGCAGAGAAGAACCTGACGTGGGGGTCGCACAGTGACTCAAGCAGCCTCACCAGTTTCCACAGAGGCTGTACAGGTTCTGCGCTAATGAAACGGCGTTTTCTCTACGCGTGGTGGTGCACAGCTATAATCCCAGCTACTCTGGAGGCTGAGGCAGGAGAGTCACAAGTTTGAGGCCAGCTTGGGCAGCTTTTTGAGAACCTGCCTCAAAATTAAAAAATGAAAAGGGCTGGGGAAGTAGCTCAATAGTAGAGCAGGTGGCACGGGGTTCAATCCCCAGTACTGCAAAAAAGGGGCGGGGCGTTTTCTGTTTCATCCTTAAGTGTATTTGTTTTGTTTCATTTTTTCGGTTTTTTTCCGGTACCGGCAATTGAACTCACGACTTTGTGCTTGCCAGGCAAGTGCTGCACCACTGAGCTAAATCCCCAGCCCAGGGTGAGTTTTTTTTTTTTTTTTTTTTTGGTCCTAGGAATCGAACTCAGGACCTTGCACTTGCCAGGCAGTGCTTGTGCCACTGAGCTATATCCCCAGCTGTTAAATGTTTAGTACTTTGTCTTTTTGTTGTTGTTGTTTGGGTTTTTTCCGGTACCGGGAATCGAACTCACGACCTTGCGCTTGCCAGGCAGGCGTTGTGCCGCTGAGCTAAATCCTCAGCCGCATCCTTAAGTATATTGACGTGGGCTGTACTATTCACAAGAAAAGTGGCACCTGGCACCAGGGACAGAGGATGACCACCTAGCAAAGCTGAGCTAACACCGTGGCTTCCAGGTCTGTCTGCTTGCGCAACCTGGACATGGGGACTCACACACACACCCGAGCTACCCCCACAAGCAAGCACAGGCCTGGGAGAATTCCAGAAGAGCGACAGGAGGCAGGGTTCTAGGGATCCTGTTTTCTGTCCCGGGCCTAGCGCTGGGGACCTTGATCCCGATAACCTGGAGAGGAGAGGTGGAAGGACTGAGGCCCTGGCCTGGGCGCGCAGAAGTGTGCAGGGCGCTCTGCTCAGACCTCCGCCTCAGGCTGACCGCCAGGCCCTCTCAGCCAGCCGTACCAATGGGCTCCTGAGGGCGGTCACCATGGCGACCAGAGCTAGGCGGAAGGACCCGGATGAACCTCTGAATTTCCGCTTCTCAGGAGTCACGGTGCCTGAGCCCAGACAGCCACTGTCTCCCCTAGCGTCGGAGGCCACTGTTCCCGTGGGGATACCATTCCCCTTCCCACATGGTAGCCAGGACGGCGCCTGCGTTTCTGAGCCAGGCCCGAATGGAGTTTTGGCTCTGTTCCTCCCTATCTAAGTGATCTTGGGCAAATCACGGAGCCTTCCGTGCGTCAGGACTGCAGGAAGTGCGCTGCGGGCGGCACAGGGTCGGATCTGCTCCTAAGGACCTGGTGCCCTGCCCGCTCTGCCTGGTACAGGGTGGGGCTGAGCAGGCGCCCTGGGGCGCACGGAGAGCCCCGGGTGCGGCCACACTGGGGTTCTGGCATGTGTCCCCGGCGCACGTACACCCCCGGTATCCACACGACGGGGTGGCTCCCAGGGTCCTGGGGAGGGCTGTGGATCCCGGGGCTTCATGAGCTCGTCCAGGAGACGGTGATGGCTGCTGCTCTAAGCCGCCCCACCCTGCCCACACCAGGCGACCCAAGGGCCCAGGCAATCAGGGGACACGGGTGATACTCTGTCACAGTGCACCACCCTCGGGGCCCTCCTGGAGCCACACGGTCTTCCAGCAAAGCCCTATAGGCGGCACAGGAGAAAAATCCCAGGGCCCCACCCTGCCCCCGGCACCCCTCAGCCACCCCCGAGAAGTCCCAGGAGCCTAGCTTGAAAATCACGGGGCCAGGGACAGGTGCGGCCACAGTGGTGATGGTGACACGTGTTACACAGAAGGGCTGGGGGAACTGCGGAATCATAAAGGCATTGCTGGCTCCATTCTCTAGCCGGGGAAACTGAGGCTTCACAGAGAAGCCAGACCTGTGTGGTCCCTGTCTAGCCAACGTCCTTTCCTGCCCGATCTCCCGGGACGGGTTTGAGGCCGGGCCCTTTCTGTGGATAAAGGAGAAAACGGAGGCCCCGCGGCCTCAGTCCCTGCCTCTGAGGCCAGCCCGCCCCTGGGGACACCCGGGCCCCCGCAGTCACAGGCCCACCTCTGTGTCACCCTGCAGAGCTGCCCTGCTCCGAGCACCTGAGCGTGGCGGATGCCACCTGGGTGGCCCTCAACGTGGTTTCCGGCGGAGGCGGCTTCTCCAGCTCCCAGCCCATCGGCGTGACCAAGATCGCCAAGTCCGTCATCGCCCCACTGGCCGACCAGAACATCTCGGTGTTCATGCTGTCCACTTACCAGACGGACTTCATCCTGGTGAGCGCCCGGGCGCATGCGCGCGCACGCACACACGTGCGCCTCCACGCAGCGCGCACGCCCCGCCCCTCACGGCCTCCGTCCCGCCCCCAGGTGCGTGAGCGAGACCTGCCGTTCGTCACCCACACCTTGTCGTCAGAGTTCACCATCCTGCGGGTTGTCAATGGCGAGACGGTGGCAGCTGAAAACCTAGGCGTCACCAACGGCTTTGTGAAGCCCAAGATGGGTGAGTGGAGGTGGGGTCTGCGCGGGGATCGCTGCCGCACCGGGCTCACCACCGAGCGTCTGCGAGCGCCGGGCTAAACGTGGTGCTGTGATCCGGGTGGGGCCGTGACGTCACAGGCTAGCAGGGCGGTAGACGTGGGTGCAGCCAGGGAAGGCCAGGGGTCCCTTCCACCCCAGCCCCAGCGTCCGCGTGGTTCCCATGGAATTTGGAGCCCAGCAGGAACCAGCCTGGGTGTTGACAGCGGGGAAGGACGTACAAAGGCCCGGGCAGCGTTTGGTGGCAGTACCGGCTGGCGAGGCAACCGGCCGGGTCTTGCAGGCCTGCAAGTGGCACTGCCAGAGCACGCCAGGCCCAGCCCCGTTCTTGAACCGCCTGGCCTCAGTGGTGCACCCCAATCAGTCTGAGTACCGTGTTTTTGTCCCCACGCAGTCCAGAGGCCGGTCATCCACCCGCTGTCCAGCCCTAGCAACAGGTTCTGCGTCACCAGCCTGGACCCCGACACGCTGCCTGCTGTCGCCACCCTCCTCATGGACGTCATGTTCTACTCCAGCGGGTAGGGGGCACACGTGGGCGTGGGACACTGCGGTTCGAGCCGAGGGCTAGACGGGAGAGGTGCAGACCTGGCCAGGAGCCTGTCTGATGGAGGAGGCTCAGGCCACCTCAGAGCTCCAGGCTGAGCGGGGAGACACCGCCCTGGGACGCGCTGGATTTGATGCCCTAGGGGCAGCGGGCTTAAACTCCTCTTCCTGCGTTCCATGCAGGCCTGGTCCATTGAGGGGCGGAGAACTCGGGTTTTCCCCTTAGGGGAAAACAGACCTTGCGTCAAAACGGATTTTGCCAAGCTTGAGCCAATACCAAGTGGGCTGGGGTGGAGCAGGTCCAGCAAGCCGGCCGTAACCACAGCCTGCGCTGGAAGCCTGGGCTTGGGACACGCGGGGACACTGGCCCCAAGGAGGAGATGTGGGTGCTGTGAAGAGTGGTACCCGGCCCTGCGGACGTCTGGGCCAGGGCAGGACTTGGCCCGACTTCATTGGGGGGTGTTGGGGACGCCCCTCACCAGCTCCCCACCCCCAGGGCGAAGGACCCCATGGCAGCTGGCGAGGACTGCGGCCACATCCGCTTCTTCTCCTTCTCCCTCATCGAGGGCTACATCTCCCTGGTGATGGACGTGCAGACCCAGCAGAGGTGAGGGCCGGCCAGGGCTCCCGCTTTGTCCCTGGATGAGCAGGGTGTGCCAACACGGGGACACACCATCGCCCTGGTGTTCTTTGCTCCAAAGCTCTGACCCGGTGTGGTCCTCCTGTCCCCACCCCAGGCGAGAAGGGGACACAGCCAGGGCACTGGGAGGGGGCAGTCGGGCAGGAAACGCCCTGAACGCCAGCCCTGAGTCCCCGTCGCCCACAGGTTCCCCAGTAACCTGCTGTTCACCAGTGCGTCTGGAGAGCTGTGGAAGATGGTGCGGATTGGCGGGCAGCCCCTGGGATTCGGTGAGCCCTGGGGCCACCACGCGGGGTGGCGCAGCCCCTTCTGGGTGGGATAAACGGGAGAGCGAAGCCGAAGTCCCCTGAGGGGTCTCTTGAGCAGTGTGTGACAGATGTGTGCAGAAGTCCAGGGAACGGCATGGGCATGGCGACAGATGTGATCAGAGGGCTTTGATTTCCCTCACTCACAAATTAAGGCCAGTTGTGATGCACACCTGTAATCCCAGCACTCTGGGAGGCTGAGGCAGGAGGATTTCAAGTTTCAGCCCAGCCTAGGCAACTTAGCGAGACTGTGTCTTAAAAATCTAAAAAAAATACATTTTAAAAGGGTTGAGGAGGTAGCTCAGTGTGAAGGCCTTGAGTTTATCTCCCAGCACATCAAAAGAAAGGGTCAAAGTGAGACAGACAAGGCCCGGGCCCTCCTCCCGGCCACCCACACAGCCTCCGGCTCCACCCACAGCAAACTCACAGGGTGGCAGGGAAGGTGTAGGCAAGAACAGGTGAAGGGCACAGGGAGCCCCAAGGGTGGAGGGCGTTGCTGGGCAGTGAGTGGGAGATGCCCCAGGAGTCTCTGGGAGGACTGGGTACGGGGAGCGGGGACCCGGCCTCATGGAGCTGCGCTCTGCCTGGTTTCCCCAGACGAGTGCGGCATCGTGGCCCAGATCTCCGAGCCCCTGGCTGCGGCCGACATCCCCGCCTACTACATCAGCACGTTCAAGTTCGACCACGCGCTGGTGAGTGCTGGGGACATGCGGGCCAGGACCGGCAGGGCTGGGACGGGCAGTGGTTCCGGCTCACAGCTCTGCTTCCTGCCCACAGGTTCCAGAGGAGAACATCAGCGGGGTGATCAGCGCCCTGAAGGTCAGCCAGGCGGGGAAGCACTAAGGGCGTCGCTCCCCGCTGTATTTCTCCAGAGAACCGGGAGACCGGCAGGCCGGGGACAATGCCCTGACAGCTGAGGCCTCCGGGGAGCCCCAGCCCTTTGAAAAGGGACCTGCCTTCTGCAGCCCACCCCGGGAAATGGTATCTGAGGCTCCGGAGGCCGAGGGGCAGCCCCATCTCCTCCTGGGGCTGTTTTTGGGGGTCTGGCAGGGCCAGGCTGGGAACATGAAGCCCTGGGAGGCCCCCGGGAGGTGGGGGGCTGAACATGGTGGTCACTGCTCCCCGTTCCCAGGGCTCAGGGCTGGTTCCCCTGGAGTGGCGGCTGCAGGCCACCCTGACCCCGCCTGCCAACCGCAGGGCCTGTGCCCCACCTCAGCACGACTGCCAAGAAGGGCCCTGGGGACCTCCCCTAAGCGCTCCCCGGGGGACTTCCCAGCCCGGAGCACCAGCTTCTCTGTCCTCTGCTTTCCTGGACCCTCCTTGGGCGGGCAGAGCCTCGGTTCCCCCCAGCGGGGGCTTCCCCAGCATTCTGCACTTGGGGTTTCTTAGGTCACCCCCACCTCCCAGACAGTCCACTAGACCAGCACAGGGCTCCCCACCCCCACCGCCCGCCCTCCTGGCTGCCCTGACCTCTGGGGCCGGGCGTTCACGAGTACTTGACCCAGGAGGCAGCTTAACTGAGCCTTAATAGAGAAATCATACTTCGTTCTAGTTTTTTTTAACGTACTGGCAGTTGTGCCCGGACTGCTGTTGGCTGTCGTTTCTTTTCTCAAGAGATGGGTTCTGAGTTCTCCCCCGGGGCCCAGGGCTCAGTCACTTGGGGCCCCTAGGGGTCCATGGACAGGCATAGGCCCTGTGTCCGGAGGGGCAGCTGGGAGCAGAGGTCTGGCAGGAGTCTCCAAGGCTGTGGCGCTGGCCACCAACTGTCCCAGCAGGGGCAGAGGAGAGGGGCCACTTGCTTCTCCAGCCGGGGGCCCTCGCCGTGGAGGCACTGCAGGAGACCCTTGCAGGGCCCGGCATGCTAAGCAGAAACCCACTTCCTTCTTGGTTTTTAAGTTAATTCATTTTGCACAAAACCCCCAAAGCAACCAAATCTCATCAGTTGTTTGCTGGTCCCCAAGGGGAGGAGGCTGAGTGGGCAGGGCTGTGCTTGGAGCCCCGGGTCCCTTTTCTGTCTGTAGAAGGCCTTTATTTTCCGGGTCGCCCCTCTCTGCACCCCTTTCCGTCTGCTTCCTTCCTACCGGGCCAGTGTGTCGGCCCGGTGTCCCCTGAGTTGTGTAGCCCCTAGACTTCTAGGACCGCCTGTTGTACACACCTATAAATACCTGTGTTTTATGTTGATAGAGATATATATATACTGTAAATAGCATATATACTTGAGCAATATATACGTTAATATATTCTCTGTGCAGGGCGCGGGCACAGACCTCCCCCGCCTGTGTGCCCGTGGTGGGCACGAGGCCCCGCCCATTGTGCTGGTCGTGGCCTCGGGCAAAGGGTTGCACCAGCGAGTATTTTTGAGCCTGGACAATGCGATTATGCCACATCGGTGGGTCCCGCCAGCTTCCCTGGAGAGAGGACAAAACCAGCAGCCCACAGAGCCTGCCACAGGGCGGAGTGGAGGGTCAGCCCTGGCCTGGATCTGCTCCCCGCCTCCACCTCGGCCACGGTCCCTGGACACCCGTGTTGTACTGGAGGGGGACGTTGGTCTGGAGGAGCGGTTGGGACTTGTTTCTGACAGAGTGTCCCCCGCAGTATTACATGAGCACCTGGCCTGCTGCTCGGCCACGCTCCGGCCTTCCCTCCTCGGGCGGCTCCTTTCCTGGTGGCCCCTTCCTTCTCTGAATTCTTTTTATTCGCAAGCTTAGGAATCCTGGGGAGAGGCTGGGAGGAGGGCCCTGCTGCCCCTGGGGGAGCTGCCCCAGCATCCCGCTGCTTGGCCACGGAGCCCCTGGGATCGCCCCTACCCAGCTGTGTGCGAGGAAACGCTTTTCTGTTCTCCGTGTGTAGTGTAGCCAGTGTGGTCCCCAAAGCCCTGGCAAAGGGGCGCACACCCTTGACCTTTCCCTCCAGAGGCCCACACGTTCCTGCAGAGCCCTGCCGGGCTATTGAGTGCCCGTGTCCCCTGGGGGTCATCGGCAGAGACGAGCGTGGGGGTCGGGGAGGGGACGGTGCCCTTCCCCTTGCCCTGGCCAGGGACACAGCTCGGCTCCCGGGCCTGGGCATGTGCGTCTCAGCCTCTCCAATGAGGAAAGCGGGACACCACCCTGACCTCGCCCCCACCCCATCCCTGTCCAAGGCCCAGGATCCGGGGAGGGAGCAGTGACCGCCGGTTCCCAGGGACAGGGATCCCTAACGCTGACTCCATAACGACCCCTCGCCACGATTTGGAGGGCCCTGGGCCCCCCAGCCACCAGCACCCCTACTACCGGCCCAGGCAGAGGTCCCTGGTGGGAAGAGGGGGGGACGTGAGCGGGCCGCCTCGGTGCCGGCAGGAGGGGCCTCTGTCCTGCTGAGGGAAGCGGGTGTCAGAGGCGGGGCGGTCAGGAGGGGATCGTGGCAGGTGGGAAGTGCCCAGTCCGAGCCCGGCGCCGCAGCCCGCTGCGTGGTTTTCAGAGGGGGCCCTGAGCACCTGCCAGCGTATTTCCCTGGCAGACCGTCAGGGGTCCCAAGGTCACCCTGGCCACCTGCTGAGCCTCTGGGCTGGACATGGGCCCTTCCCACCCTCAGCTGGAAGGGACTGGCATGCTCCCAGGGGACCACAGAGCCCCGCAAGCCTGCTGGGACGGGAACCTGATGTCGCTCTCTGAGTGAGGGCCGCCAGGCTGGCGAGCGGGCACCGACAGGCTCTTCAGCTTCTTGGGTTTCTGGAGGAGCTGTGGGCAGGCGGGGTCAGGCCTGGAGGGAGGGAACTGACACAGTGGCTGCTGGGGTCACCCAAGGAGGGACGGCGGCGGGAGGGAGCCCCGTGTAGCTGGATAGCCTGTTCCTGCATTTCGAAGCTTGTCCCAGGTATTTTTCTTTCAAGTTAGAAGCAGCAAAACCACAAGCCCAGCTGGCCCTGGCCCTGGCCCTCTTCGCGGGCCGAGGGTCGAGGCTGCCCTCCTGGGGAGGCGGCGGAAGCAGAGCTGTGGCGAATGTGGTTCTTACGCATGCGTGTGGGCGTGCGTGTGTGAGAGAGCGTGAGTGCGTGTGCCGGGCCGACTGGGTGAGGGGACTGGCTCAGTGTTTGGAGTGTCCAGGCCACGTCGACAGAGGTGACGCGAGGGGGGGTGGCTGGCTTAAAGCTGGAGGGTGAGGGTGCTGTGCTGCACCTACCCTGTGAGGGGCAGAGGTGTCCCTCGTCCGGGCCTGGCCCTCCGTGCAGCCAGCCTGACCTGGCCGTGACCTCCTCCCTGTGTGGGTGCCTCAGACCTCCCAGGATTTATGGGAACAGGTTCTAGGAAGGGACCCGCGCAAAGGGTGCGTCGTGGAAATGGCAGAGCCCAGTTCAGGGGGATAAAAAGCAGGCCAAGTTCAGGTCCCAGGACAAGCCAAGCCCGCTTTGTTTTTCTTTCCCCTGCCTCAGTTTGCCTATATTGAGAAAACGGCCCAGGAATAATTGAGCACGCTCGGCTCCGAAACAGGAAGGGTCTGAGGACAGGAAGTCACCCCCAAGCCCTCTTGCTCTATGCCAAAATCATTTCCGTTACCCCGAGGTGGGGGAGAAGGAGGGGTGCGGGGCACTCCTGCCCGAGGCCCCCTCGCCCACACCCGGCATGCCGTGCCCGGGTCACCAGCAGCAGCAGCGAGTGGGCTGGAGTGAGTCCCTAGGCCTGGGTGCCGGCGACAAGTGGCAGGCGGACCCCACCCCCGGGGCCCTCACGCTTACTTCCTTTGTCAAACCCTCGAGATTCACGTACTGTATGATGGAGAGAAAAAAGTACCTAATGTTCCCCCCAAAAGACAGTATATTTTGTACTTTGTAAAGTGTTCATTAAAATGAAAGGGAAAAAGTAACATCGGCTGGCGGCTGTCTGGTTTTGTGTAGGTTTATCTAAGGACACTCCTCCCCTTTCTCCAGAGTGAGGTTGGGGAAGCCAAACCCAGGGGCTGCAGGTATTGCACCCGCAGTGGGGAGTGGCCCCAGAGCAAGAGAGGCTGCACCAGTCAGCCGGCGCTGCGGAACAAGCTGCCCCTGACTCATGGCTTCAGGTCATCGTTGTTTACAGAGCACAGCGTCCAAGGTTCAAGGGGTGGCTGCCCGTCAGCCCCGCACCTTGGCCATTTTCTGTGGCTGTAACTAACCCCGGAAGCTGAGTACGTGGTGAAGAAGAGATTTTGTTTTTTGCGGTGCTAAGGATCGGGATCCTGTGCACGCTAAGCAAGTGCTCACCACGAGCCTCTTCCCCAGAAGAGAGGTTTGTTTGGCTTGTGGTTTTGGAGGCTAAAAGGTCCAAGACGGGGCAGCCCCATGTGCGTCACTGTGTGTACACGCTGTCTGGGCAGGGACAGGGGGAACCATGGCGGCCACACGGGAAGCCAAAGGGGCTGCAGGGCCAGGCTCATGGGAACTGATGGGGATCCCTGAGAATCCCTGACTTCTTCCCAGGGACAGCGCCCCCAAGTGACCTGACCACCGTCTGGAAGCCCTTCCTCCTAAAGCATTGGAGGTCAGACAGGGCAGTGCTTGCCTATAATCCCAGCACTTGGGAGGCTGAGGCAGAAAGATAGCAAGTTCAAGGCCACCGTGGGCAACTTAGCGAGACCCTGCCTTAAAACAGAAAAATAGGGGCTGGGGATTTAGCTCAGCGGCACAGCGCCTGCCTGGCAAGCGCAACATCATGAGTTCGATTCCCAGTACTGGAAAATAACCAAAACCAAAAAAAAAAAAAAAAAAAAAAAAAAAAAAAAAAAAGGGCTAAGGACAGAGCTCGGCAGGAGAGTACTGTGGGTTCAGTACCCAGTACCAAAAACACAATGTAAATGGGAAAACGGGCAGAGTTCCAACCACCCAGCCAGGAACAGGCCAGAGTGCAGTCAGGGAGAGAAATCCTCAGCACTGAAACACTGTGGGCTGGGGATATAGCTCAGCAGCATAAGGGCCTGCCTGGCAAGTGGAAGGTCCTGAGTTCGATTCCCAGTACAAAAAAAAAAACCAAGTGTGCCGTGACTTAATGATACCGTCAGTGAAACATAAACGCTACAAGAGGCCCAGCAGCTGCACTCCAGGGGAACAGCTGGTACGCAGAAGCACTGCCAAGGGCAGAGCGACTCACTCAGTGGGACAGCGCCTACCTCACATACATGCAGCCCTGGCTCCCATCCCCAACACTACAAAAATTAAAAAGAAGTGGTGTTCCAAAGATAAAATTCTAGCCCAATGTAAAACTTACCTGTGAGTGTTTCCATATCATTCCTAATAGTCAAAAGTGGAACTGAGCCGGTATGGGAACCATCCCAGAAGTGTGGGAGGCTGAGACAGGAGGATCTAAGGATCCCATCAACCCTTCTCTTTGCCCTCAGCCTCCTCCCACTAGAACAATGCTTGGCTGCTACAGGGATGGACCGAGCCCGTTCGTTCAGTTGTCCCCCGAGAGACACGATTGGGTGCTGCTGTAATGACCATGGCTTCGGGTCCCCCACACTGGTCCGGCATGCAGCTGCCACTATGCAGCGGCAGCAAGAGCAAGATGACACCTCCGGTTCTCCCACAGCTCCCCCTGCCCAGTTACTCTTGCATGTTTGCCTCAGACCGCGCCAGCCAGCTCCTGGTTCGAAGCATCAAGACCATGTGGAGTTTGGGGTTTGTTTTTGTTTTGTTTGCAATAGTGGGGATTGAACCCAGGACCTTAGCACTAAGCTACATTCTCAGCCCTTTTGAGACAATCTCGCTAACTTACCCAGGCTAGGATCAAACTTGTGATCCTCCTGCCTCAGCCTCCCAGAGCACTGCGATTACAGGCATGTGCACCGCCCTGCCTGCCTTGGGTTTATCCTTTTAAGCTCAACTGTCAAATGTGCACATTAGTGCGGCCCCAGCACGGAGAAGAGCACAGGTCTCAGAACTCCAGATACTGCCCACAGCCCAGGCCCATCTGGCTGTCGCAAAAGACGTCCAGGCAGCAGAAGTCCCCAGGGAAGTAGCTACCACACACACGTTCCTGGTGCAGGGTCAGATGGCTGCCCTGAGAGCCTGTGCTGCTGCTGGGTGCTGTCCCAAGGCCACCCGGAAGGATCACATCCGTCCTGCAGCCACCAACTGCAGGTAGTACATGCCTGTAATCCCAGCACTCTGGGAGGCTGAGGCAGGACAACCACAAGTTCGAGCCCAGCCAAGGCAACTTAAGTGAAACCCCTGCCTCAAGATACAAAATTTTTGAAAGTACTGAGAATACAGCTCAGTGTGAAGACCCTGGGTTCAATCTCTGAAGTGCCAAAGGAGGAAACAACTTCGGAGTCCTACCTGAGCACTGCAGGCCGCAGGGTTCCCGTAGTCTGTGCGTACTCTAGAGTGACCCAGGCCCGCCCTGGGGCACTGCCCTGCCACAGGCAGCCGTCAGCAAGTGTCCTATTCTTCCCGGCTGTGGCCACTTTAGAGCCGTCCCGACTGCAGTTCCGCGAGGGAAACGAGTTTTCCATGCACTGGGAACGGGCTGTCACAGCCAGGACCCCTCACTGCACCCTGCGCCCCTCCTGCTGTGTTAGATCTGAAGCAAAGCGACTCCCATGGTCGTCACTGTCCGGGTCACCTGATCACACGGGTTCCCCCTTCATCAGTGCGTGAGCGCGGGACAGCTCCTAACCCGGCGGTGGTCCTGGGAGGTGAGGAAACACGGGAGCTGGGGGGCTGGTGAAGAGGGCGGGCTGTGGGCGTGGCCTCAGGGCTGGCACTGGCTTCTACTTGCCTCTTTACCAAAAGCCTTCTTTTATAAAAAGCTAATCTCTTAATGATCAAGTATGAAACTTTTTTTTGAGACTGGATCTTGCTATGAAGTTGAGGCTGGCCTTGAACTCACCATGTAACCTGGGCTGGCCTCAAACTCAAGGCAATCCTCCTGCCCCAGCCTCCCAAACGCTGGGGCTGCCGGTGTGCCACCGTGCCAGGCTCAAGTAAAAATTTTAAAACACCAACTCAGACTGGGCATGGTGGTGCATGCCTGTAATCCCAGCACTCAGGAGGCTGAGGCAAGAGGATCGTTATGAGTTCGAGACCCACCTGAGCTACAAAGCGAGATCAAGTTCAGCCTGAACTGCACAGCGAGACCCACTCTCAAAAAAGAAAAAAAAAAAACCAACTCAGTTCTGAAACCAGTAGAAAATAGACTTTATTCCAAAAGAGACTTTTAAACACTGTTTGCAAAGAGAAAGAGAAGTTACATTCCTGATTCCAATACTTCTCACAGTGCTCTAGCCAGGCCACTGCAGCTACACTGGGAACGGCGTCCTCCTGCAGGGCCTGCTCAGCCTCGCAGGTGGACAGTGAGGACGGTCGTTAGGTCACAGCCCGGCCCAGGCCGCTGAGTTCCACCAGGGAGCCCGCAGTGTGGCTGCAGCCAGAACCCGCGGCGAGTGGGGCGAGAACGAAGGCCATGCGAGGCCAGCCTGGCTCACGACACAGTGCCCGGCCCGAGGCGCACAGAGCCTGCCCGGCACCAGCTGAGCCTGCCACAGACGCCCTCCTGACCCTGTGTGATGCAGTCACATCCTGAAACCAGCAGGCTGGCATTCCGGCAGACATGGCCCCAGCGTGTGCTGCTGGGCAGCGTGAAAGGTGCTGACTGTCCTCGCCCTGCAGGCAGCGGCCGTGGGCTCCTCAGGAGCTGGGCCCACCGAGGGCAGCCATCCTGTGTGTGCTGCTGGCATGGGCCACAGCCCCAAAGCTGGCACAGACATTGCCAAGGGCGGCAGGAGACTGCACGAGGGCCATCAAAGCGCAGGCCTGTGCCGTGTCCCTTCCACGGAGACGCTGAGGCCAGGGCCAGCCTTGAGCAGGCCAGGAAGGGGACTCAGATGAACGACTTGGCCAGGGTCACCATGTGGTCCACACCGCACGCCATGTCCACAGGCTCGCCGGGCATCGTCACCTGAAAGAGACGGCCCGTACCGCGCAGGCGTGAGGCAGATGGCTCGCGGCAAGCCACCCCGAGCCACACCTGGACGCCTACCAGCATAACGGTAGCAGCCCAGGGGGCTGGGCCATCCATCACTCTGCCACCCACAGCAGCCACGACTGCTCGTGCCCACCTGAGAGCCCACCCTGGGCAGGAGTGCAGACGTGTGCGCGGCCCGGCCTGTGCCCGTCCCGGGGCCCCTCCCTCGGGCCAGGTGCTCGGTGACCTCCCCAGGGCACACTGTCTGAGCTCCCAGAGCACCAGAGCCTTACTCTCGCCTGCTGGCTCCAGCCCCGTCGCCCCGACCCCACTGCAGGCACCGCCTGGGCCCCTCAGGTCTCACATCACTGGCTGTGTCTCAGGACACCAGGCCTCGCCGCTCCGCCTGCTCTGCGCATCTGCGCGCACAGGTCGTGAAGGCCCAGCAAGGTGCCCTGGCCCTGTGGCAGTCGGGGCCACGTGCCTGTGCAGGGACGCTAGGGCAGGCAGGCCGGGCCTGCGGGCAGCTGCTGGCCAGGGCATCCTGTCCCTCCCGCTTGTCAGCACGACTGTGCCCAGATCCAGCCACACGCATGCCACATGGCTGCTCAGGAAAACTCACTGCCACCCTGCCGTCCTCCACCGCCCCTGCTTCCCTCTCAAGAGGAAATAACTGCATCTTCATGGCCTTCCTGAGAGTCGTGTGTGCATGTGTGCGAGCGCATGTAGTACTGGGGACTGAACCCAGGGCCTGTGCAATGAGCTACATCCCCAGCCCTTATTGTTTTATTTTGAGACAAGGTCTCACTAAGTTGCCCAACTTGCTGTCCTCCTGCCTCAGCCTCCCAGGACGCTGGGATTACAGGCATGATCCACCACGCCTGACCTTCTGGAGGGTCTTGATGCCAAGGGAGATGAACCCCCTTCTCCTCTGCCTAAGTGACGAGGGTGAATGCAGGGCCCCTGTGGCCGGCCCTTCAGACCCTCAGCAGGATGCACACGCCTGCCCCACTGAGTGGGCTCAGACCGTCTTTCCTGGCAGCGGCACTCGGCCAGGCCGTGTCACCAGGGGCGAGGGGCCCCGTGCCTGCAGCGCAGTTTACTGAGCCCTAGCCAGATGGCCTGGTCCGGAAGCAGAGGTGGCCGGCGCCGCCCCAGAGCTCCCTGCGTGCCTGTGGCGGGGAAGACCGGCCATCAGGGACTTGGGGCCGCTGGGCAACCGAGGGCAAAGGCTCAGGCCAGGCCATCCCACCCCTCCCCAAACAAACAGCCTTAGCACAGCCTGCCAGACACAGCTCCGCAAACACAGCGGCTGGCGCTCCAGGGTGGCCCCGCAGCAGCAGCAAAACGTGCCGCCACCGTGGTGACGCCCAGGTGGGCCTTAGCAACGCCCAGGCCATTAGGGACACTGTGTTTACCTTCCCTCGGGAGAGCGCCCACTCCGCACGCACCTAGGGCCCACCTGCAGCCCTTCGGCACCTACATCCTTGTCCCCAAATGGCCTGGCCACCCTAGCCCAAAGCTGCGCAGGCCTCTTGGCCTCACCACCACCCAGGACAACGTCGGCGCCAAGGCCTCTGGGAGCGGCAGCTGGCGGGGTTCCGGCTCCCCCTGGCGGCAGCTCCAGGCTCACCGCTGGAGCGGAAGGGCCCGCCCTGATGTCCCTGCCAAGGAACAGCCAATCTGCCCTCCCAACACCACAGTGAGGACAGCTGTGGAATCCCGGTCCCCACGCCCCCCAAGCCACCCTCTGAGAGGGGCAGGAACGTCGCTCCCCACGGTGACCAGGTACTAAGGCAAGCGGCCACCCTAAGACAGCACGGGAAGAGAGAAGTACAGGGCCGCGAGGCCTGGCCCACTGCTCGCCACCGGCGGCCAGGCCCCGGAAGCCACCAGCACCCAGCTCTGCTGCTGTGAGGGCGCCAAAGTCGGAGGCCTCCCAGCTTGAGCCCTGATGTGTGGTCCCTGCAGGGAAGCCCAGTATGCAGCAGAGCCGGGCCGGCCCGAGCCCACACCGTGAGCCCAGAAGGGAGCACAGGCAAGCAGCGCCCTGGCCGCCCCGGCAGACCTGTTTCCGTAACACATCTATGCCATGCACAGAGGCACTGCATTCACGAAGAGCAAGTAACTTCCTTTAGAAGTACACAACGCTGGGGCTTGGGATTTAGCTCAGCGGCAAAAGCACCTGCCTGGCAAG